GGAGCCAATGTGTGAATCTGCCTGTATCAGAGGGTCCCCAAGACCAGCCCAGGTCCCGTGATGTGCTGACAGCACCCCTAGGACTCAGCCATAGTGGGGCTCATAGTACAGCTCCTGGCGCTCAGTCGTAAGCCATGCTGGATTACAGCCAATGGATACAGATCAAAGTCAGCAAAGGGGAGAAGGCACACAGTGTGAGGACCAGAGAAACCAGGCACAAGCTTCCAAGAGCCCCTGTCATTGGAGCCACATGCTTAATTCCTCCAGCAGTAAGATGTGAAGACATGAAATGTGGCCAACCAGGGAAACTCATTAGAGACTCAGCACCCTGGGTTTTTTTTTTTTTTAATGTATATTTATTTTTGAAAGAGAGAGCATGAGCAGGGGAGGTAGAGACAGAGAGGGGGACAGAGGATCCAAAGCAGGCTCTGTGCTGACAGCAGTGAGCCTGATGTGGGGCTCAAACTCACAAACCGTGAGATCATGACCTGAACCAAAGTTGGACATTCAACTGACTGAGCCATCCAAGTGCCCCAGCACCCCAGGTTTTTAATAGGGGGCTGGCATGTAGGTTCTGTCTGTCTAGCATGAACCAAAATTCCAGACTCCCAATGAGTGTAGGTGTTCCACATAAACCCAAACAGGTTAGGCAAGTGAGCCATTCTTATCAGTTAATGGTGGGAACTTTCCCAAAATCTAAGTTGGCAGATGTTAGCTGAGGGCTGACCTTGCAAGGACAGTGATCATGGCCCTGTTGTGTAAACTCTTTTTTGCACAATGCCAGCTGCCTAGTAGGACTGTCCCATAATACATCTAGGAGCCAGGGAGATGCCCCAGGGGTCTTGGGCCCAGCTAATTCACTGTGAAGTGGAACTTGGCTAAGACTCTTTTTGGGAGGCCCAGAACACACTTGGGTTTGTTACCTGCCTCCATGGCCCCTGTAGTCTGGGATGGGTGATAGCCATGACAGAACCCGGTGCCTTTGGAACAATGGAGATGAAAAGAGACAGAAATAATATAGGCCAGGGGCACCTGCATGGTTGACTCAGTTGAGCGTCCAATTTCGGCTCAGGTCATGATCCCAGGGTCATGGGATTGAGCCCTGAGTCAGGCTCCACACTGAGCATGGAGCCTGCTTGAGATTCTCTCTCCCTCTGCCCCTCTCCCCAGCTCTCTCGTTCTCTCTCTTAAAAAAGAAAGGAA